AAAAATCTAGTAAGTAGAAAGTACAGATAATTGCGTAAAAATGTAATGAGTAAAAGTAAAAAGTACGCTGAAAAATAATTACTCAAGTAAAGTACAGATAACCARAATTTCTGCTTAACTACAGTAACAAAGTGTACTTAGTTACTTTACAACTCTGTCATTAGTATTACCATAAAACCTTCTAACTGAAACAAAAATAGGTTTTGCTGGGGAACTGTTTCACGATTTATTTTCTACTTAGAAATTCAAGAAGCAAAATATATTGGATTATTTCAAAAAATGTGTATACATGTTTAGCAAATGGAACAAGTTAGTGCACCCTTGAGTCATGTCCAGCACAAATGGCTTATGTATTCAAATCCAAAACCCTCACATTTGTGCTTTAATCCAAGTACRTTCCTCTTCACTGATGTCTAACTGTGTGCATGCTTGTCTGCTGTTCAACCTCTTGTGCCGTGCCCATTGCATACCTCTCACCTATCCCCACAGACTCATGGGAWTCTGCTCTCCTATGAATTGTGGGTGAGTGTGACTCAGCGCTGCATGGCTCGTCTCGTTTTTCCTCATTTCAACAGCTCTCAGCACTCTACAGTCCACTGGGATTCTCAGACAAACCCTTGATTTAGATTCAGAAAAGACAGAGAGACAAGAAAAAAAAAGAAACTTCTTATGTCCAAAATGACTCTGAACATACAGTAGACTGATCAAAGATGCATGCAGTCCTGGATGAAGTTTACAAGTACTCATTGCAAAGTATGAAATCCAGCATAAACAATGTTATCCTGAACAATATGTGGTGCAGTTTGAAAGAGTTTAACCCAGTAGTTTTCAGAAATACCATTGAAATWATGTGTTTAATGTAAAGAAAGCACTCAACTGAACCTGCTGAAAACCACTTGGAAACTTGAACCATGGGATTGACCTACATTAGATTGGCTGTAATCTGTGAAATTAATCAAACATGGTAAAATCAGACAAACAGAATCTTTAAAATGACCTTTAGATGAAAATTTAAGTGTTTCCAAAATTATGCTTAGAAATGTTTAAATAAATGGCCCATTAACTTACGTTATGATGATGATGATGCACTTATATGCAGACTCAGTGCATAATCAGACAATAAAGAGAAAAATATGTATTATAAACCATCTTTTCAGGATACAACCATTCCAGTGTACTGTATGAATTTAGTTGGGCTGGTTTTCATGACTTTGCATTGAGTTCCTTGAGTGAGCAGAGTGAAACGTCTTTGTGTCCCATTATGTTACATCAAGACATGGCTTACATTTAAACWGGCCTCTAACTCCTTGGATTACAAATAAAGCCTGTTGTTTTAATTAAATGGGTTTGTCTAAAAGCCTGGTATGATATGATYAAAAGAGTGGCTGTGGATCAGTGGTTAGAGCAGCCATCTTTCAAAATCAGAGATCAGAGTCCTGGTTGCATGCAGTCACATRTTGAAGTGTTCCTGGCCAAGACAGTAAGTATGTATTCACTCCAGTCYGGTTCAGTTTGYTTTAATCAAACTCTGCTTCRTTTGTCTAGAAAGTCCGGTTTGTTTGGGGAAGTGTGAAGGTGTAATTGAACTCTGAAGCAGTCCCGCCTACAAACYTAGGTCTTGGTTTGGTTGATGTGAACTCTGGTGCGGTTCGAATGCAAACAGACCAGAGATAGGCATTTTGATAAAGGCCTTGYTCGACCCCAGCAGTGCTTGAGTCAGGCTTTTATGATTTTCAGTCCCTCTTTTAATGTGTAGACCTCCGCATGTAATTTCAAAATCTATCTAAATATTTTATCTAGTTTGTATTCTGCTTTGGCTTGAAAAATTGTTGCGAAACTGTAACGTGTTCTTTGTCTACGGGGCTCCGCAATTGTTTTTATGGAAGTAAAGAAGCACTTGCTTCCTAATTTTCAACCTATATTGGGT